CTGTTTTTAACTTCAATTTGAAGGCCTTTAGGCTAGACACACATTTTCAGCCTCCCCAGAGGCCCCACAGCTCCCTGTGGCTGTCGGGCACAAGGAGGAAGAAGACCAGTGCTGCTGAACTCCTCCCAGACACTATGCTTTGTGTAAATACTGGCTCATTTAATCCTTCCAGCAAGCCCAGGGGGTGCCACTTCTATCGGTTTACCACTGGGAGTACAGAAGCTCGCCGAAGTCAGGCACCTTGCTCAGATCATTCAACTACAATCAGCAAGCCATACATCCAGAGTCAGACCCAGGCCTGCCAGACTCTGAAGTCCACACGTTTCCACGATGCCTTTAGCGAAGGCAGCAGGTGTTGATTAGGCCACACATCAAGGAGCCCCTCTGCAGAAGTGTGGGAGGGAACTTAGAAAGGCGGGAAGGGGAGTGAATGCACAGTTAAGGTAGTGCAGGGAAGAGGTGTGTTGACCTGAACACAGGTAGCAGCCCTGGGGATAGAGAGTAGATCCGGACCGGCTGGGAGGACACAGGACCAGGTGGGGAGGGGATGTGGGGACTGGGGGCAAGCATTGGTCTCTGCACAGATTAGGGGGAGCACAGAGGAAGGGGGGGTTGGGACAAGTATCTGTGGTATCTGTGGGGCTCATCAGTGGAGACGGCGTGGCACCCTCCAGGGACAGGGGCAGCAGCTGCAGAGCAGGCTGGCGACAGAGGATTACTGGGCCCTGGACGCCTTCGAAGGGAGATCCCAGCCACGCAGCAGGTGCACGCGCTGAGTGAGGAGAGCGCAGGCGCAAGTGCTGGCTGCGGTTCGGGAAGCCGGTCAGTGATGGGAGAGGACAGGGCCTGGAGAAACAGGGGCCCTGTTGTTGAACAGGGACAGCACATGGGGGGAGGGGAAGGAGTCCGTCTTGAGAGAGTAATGGAGGGAACCGTCTGGTCCTGGAGGGAGGAGAGTGCGGAATGGGGACTGCAAGCGGAGAAGGCGCTCTCCTGGCGGGTGGTCGGAACAGCGTCTTTTCCTGGAGCAGCTGTGGGGGGCACCCAGGGACCCTCTGCACCCGTGAGCGTGGAAGGCGATGGAGCACGGGACAGAAAACCAGGCCTGCGGATCTGCAGACACTGAGTGAGGTGGGTTCCCTCCCACACATGCCAGGGGGGATGCCCTCGGGCTGTCAGCTGTCATTCACCGCTGGGCCCAAAAGGGGAGTGGGGGAAGGGGGGAGTGGGGGAAGGTAGAAGAAGGTAAAGGGGGCCATAAATGGGGATGGAAGGAGACTGGACCGGGGTTGGTGGCCACACACAATTCAACATACAAATGAGGTATTCCAGAATGGTACACCTGAAACCTACATAATTTTATTAACCAATGTCACCCCAATACATTCAATGAAAACAACACTGGGCCCACTGGCCCTGCTGGCACATCCTGGTGCACATGCTTTCGCTACACGGCCGTCCAGGCCCTGCCCCCGGCCCCAGATAGCAGCTCGAAGAGTGTGCTCATCCCTGCCCTGCAAGTCGGCTCTGAATCTTCCTGTCAACAGTGTTGAGTGTTTTCACTTCTATTTCTTCCCTGGTCCTCCAGCCCACTTCCTCACAAAACAGGGCTTGCAGGAGTCATACGAGTCTACTGCTCTCAGACCCTCCAAGTAAATCTGTCCTCTGGGCACAGTGACGAATTCCCCGGGATCCCACCCTGGCCTCGGCAGTGGCAGGAGCCCATGGTCCCTGGGGACGGCTTCCGCCCTGTGGCATGTTCCCCTCCACCCCTGACCACACAGAGACCCAACCGCTACACTCCGCTGGAGTGACAGCTCCTGCCCCAGAGAAACCGCAGAAAAAGTTACCACCTGGGCAGGAAAACCTCCTCAGACTGGGTGGCCCAATGCACTGCTCCCCACTGCCACCCCTCCCCCGCAACTTCCCCTGGTCTATCAGCTCTTAAAGAATCCGTCAGTGACAAAGGTGTTAGGCAGCTCTTGACAAACGCCTTTCTGGTTGCCTCACCCTTCTCCTGCCCAGAATCCTGTCTTCCTCCAGCCAAAATACTAGAAGAAAAGCACAGGGTTTGGAATCAGCAGACTTGGGCTGGATTCCTGGCTGGCCCAGCATGCTATGACATCTTTCAAGTCACTTGTGAGCCCCAGCTTGCAACCAGGTAAAGTGACAAACAGCGTCTACCTCCTCTCAGGGAGGCCGTGAAAAGTTCAGGGAGACAGGCTATTTGTGGGTTGCACGGTGCTATTCTGATCCCTGGGAGCTAAGCCAGTCCTGCTGGCGCTGAACCTCTCTCCGCAGGGCCCCACCCAGCACGTGTTCCCAGCCATCAGTCCCTGGCAGCTCGGAGCCCATGGGAGACACATTTCAGGTGAATTCAATGCCAGCATTTGTTTAGGCCTGCTCTGAGACAGGTTCCAGAGCGCAAACAGGAACAGACACAGAACTGGCTCCCAGTGCGCTCAGCTGGCTGGAGCTAACAGAGCGGGTGTCTGCTCATGTGCTGGCCAGGGCATCCGAGGGAGAATCTGCTTCATGTTGCGGCAAGCGACGACACAGGCGTTACTAGGGTCTGGTCCCCTGGCTGACCCCTGGGATGAGGAGAGGTGGGCGGAACCAGTTCTCTGAGAAACCAGGGTAAGGCACCTGAGGCAGGCAGGCGAACCAGACACCTTGCAGAGCCAGGCCCGGCCCAGCAGGGGAGCCTGCAGGCTTACTGCACTCTCAGTGCCGCGCCCCCACCATCAGGAAGATGTGGAGGATAGACCCGCTTTGGCCTGGCTCACGGAGACGTCACAGAGGGCAGAGTGAGAACAAAACGACAAGAGCAATGAGAAAGGGTGTTCGAGGGAAGCTGAGCTAATCACAGAAGGTCTGTCTCAATGCTGACAAGCCTTTCCGTGGAGAGCCGAACCGGACTGGCTCAGAGGCTTCCATGCTGCTTCCCTCACTCCGAGACTCATCTCCACCGGAATATCCCAGTCGCTACAGTCGGTCCTTCCAGCGGATGCGGCCCCATCTCCTTTCCATGTTCTTGCTGCCGCCCTGCCACCCGTGGCCAGGACGCTCAGGTGATGCTTGCTGACAGACAGAAGCTCTGCCCGTCCAATCCCCACTGCCCCCGACCTCGGCCCAGTGAACCTGAGAAAGTCACCTCCTCCGCCACCTCCCCTCCAGCAGGACTTCCAGAAGCTGGCTCAGACAGGACACTTTGTCCCACCTGTGTCCCAGACCCAGAGAAGGGGATTCCAGGATCCCAGGCCAAACCATTCCACAGAGTTCAAACCCAGACTGTAACAAAAGCAACAGAAAGCCTTCAGAGAGCCTAGACACTTGCTGTTTCCAACACAGTCATCTTCCCTGCAGCACTTTCTGTCTCTTGGGTTCAGATTAGAGAGTAGAGTTGGGGATGGGAGCGTTTAGATGCTACGGTTTTCACCCAAACCGTTAACTGTGCTAACACCCCTGTCTTGGGCTGTGAGAGTATAAGGGGCAGCAGGCAGCTGCACTCCGGTGTGCAAAGTCCAACCCAGCCTTTCCCTGCCTAAAATTATTTCGCACACACTCAGAACTATTCTATTCCCAGGAGTGCTGCAACCCATTTCTTTGCACGCTATGTCTTTCCCAGCCCTTTAAAAATGTAAATATCTCTGAAGGAAGAAACCATATTCCACCGGCCCTAGAGCAGTTCCCGTAGAGCACCTGTGCCCAGACGCTTAGTGAAGTAAATCGGTTACTAGATGCCTGTCCCCACAGGACACGGGTCAGAGCCCAGGGCTGTGGAGGGTGGGGGACGGGGTGGAGGGGGGAAACCTGGCCAGGGAGGCATGCCGCGTTTCCCCCACCTCAGGCCGGCCCAGAGCAGGCCTGCCTGCCACGGCGAGATAACTGAGCTCTGATGAAAGTAAATCTGAAATAGCCAAATATGGAAACTCTGCAGGAGGGGGCAGAGCCGGCTGAGAGAGTCTGCAGGAGCGGTGGGGTTAGCAGTCGAGAACGTGCTCAGACTTGCCAGAGCCCTGCAGAGCGGTAACAAGGGGGAGGTAATGTGGTGTGCGGACCCCAAATGGCACCAAACCCCCGCGTGCCCCTGGCGCTCATTCCACCCGAGTCTTGGCTTCCTGCAAGAGCCCTTGGAGCTCGTCTTGTGCGCGTGTGCGTTGCGCGTCTAAACGAGCTCGCTCATCGGAACGGTTCGAAGAGGTTTCCACCCCTTCCACTATTAAAGTTTCATTCTGGAGTGCTCTGGTTGGAAAGTTTTGCACAAATGGAGGGGGGCGGGGGCCCTGGCCATTGTGGCTCAGCTGGTTGGAGCGTCCTCCCATACACCGAAAGGTTGCGGGTTGATGCGCGTCAGGGCACAGACCTAGGATGCTGGTTCATCCCCAGGCCGGCGCGAGGCAACCAGTATTTTTCTCTCTCCCTTCCTCTCTCTTTAAAGCAATGAAAAAAATGTCCTCAGGTGAGGATTAAATAAAAAAGGTGAGGGTGTGTCTGAGGGCATGGAAGAGGTTGGGGTGCGGTTGTGCGGAGGACACCTGAGAGTCCTCCTCCGCCTGTGAACCCCAACTTGAACGTGGCCCCTTTAGTGCACGACCACGCTCTGGGGCAGCTCCCCAGCCCGGGACCCCAGCCTCCGTCCTCGCCACACCCTTCCCTTCCTCTGCTAAGCAAGTCCGCTCTGGGGCTCCGGAGCCGGTCTGCCCCCTCACCAAACCCGCTGGGCATCAGTGGCCACGGCCTCCGCCCCGCCCCGGCCCCGGCCTGGCTGTCGCCTCGCGCCCTCCGCCTGCGCCCCGCCGCTCTCCAGGCGGGGATGCGCCGGAGGCCCCAGCAACCCGGCTCGGGACACCGAGAGGTGGCTGCGAAGCTCTTGCAGCCGCGGCGCTTTCGATTTCAAAGTATTTGGGACGAGCCGAAAAGAGCTCCTGAGTCCCCCCCCACTCCAGCCCTGCAGCCGTCGGGGCGTCATCGCCCGGCGGCGAACTGCCGGGACTCACCTGTGGCTGGGCACGCGGGGCCCCGCCTGCACCGGTCCGCAGGCGCCGGGCCGCTCCGGGCAGCAGCTGTGGCCGCGGCGCGGCGGGGCGAGGATCTCTGCAGCCGGGGCCCGCGCGCCCCCGCCCCGCAGAGGAGGAGGGGTGGGGCCGGGACTGGGGGCGGGGCCCGGGGCGGGGCCCTCGGGAGCCGTGCGCGTGGTGCGGCGCCCAGTACCCGGGTCCCGCGGCCCCGCGGCCCCGCGGGAAGGTGTCGGGCAGGAGGCCGGAGAGTTACCCGGGCAATCAGAACTTGGACCCACCCTCGCTACAATCATGAATATCTGCAAATAAAAATTATCTCCGATTTCTCTCAAGTGGGTTTGAACAGTACACGTGGCACACAGTTAATACAAATTTGCCGGCGCCCCTCGCCGCTGGCCTCTGCATGCCCTCGGAGCTGGGGAGTTTGCCGCTGTACCAAGGGCTTCCCAAACACTTCTTCCCACCCTCGAAACGACCTCGCGAAGTAGGCCTGGTCGTCCATGTTACAGATGAGCTCTCGAGGCCCGGAGAAGTGACATGCAGTTGTGTGCTGAAAGCTGCACGCTCAGCAGGGGCCACAGCTACAACGTGAATGCAGGAGGCCTCCAGGCTCCTAAATAAGGGTTCTTCCTCACACTACTTCCCTCCACGAGCCTCTGCTCTGGATGCTTGCATTCTCTATAAATCTCTGTGGAAATGAATGGCGCATAAACAGCATGGACTTCAGACGGAAATGCACCAGAATTTCAATTCTAGCTTCTTCAGTTTCAGCTTGACAACTGTGGGAAAGTTACTCAACTGCCCTGCACTTCAATTACTCATCAGTAAAAGGGGAGAATAATGATAGGGAGCCAGGGAGGAAACTTACAGCGGGGAGGCGGGGCGTCGTCCCGGGGAAGGGGAGGAACTTGGGTGCACTCCAGAGCACTTACCTACCGGTATCAGGGAGCCGCCAGCCTGTCCTTACCTGGTCTCTTATTTTTTCAACAAGAGCCAGAAATTCAGTTTCAAACCTTTTGGTTGGTGAGCCAGATTAACCACTCCCTGCGGAAATGGGGCGCGGGGCACCACTTTGGGACTCTAGATCCACCTCACCATCTTGCTGCGAGAACTACATGCAACGACATACCGGCGCTCCTGGCACAGAGCAGCGTCCTGTGAACCTAGGTATCTCTCCCCGCTCCCCACACAGTGCACCTTCTCATGCTTACCTCCTGCCTCCTCCCTTCTCCTTACCCACCCTCTGCCCCGGCACACTGTAAGTCAATGTATTTTGTAAAAGTATATGTCCTTTGAGTGGCTAGAAACAGAAATGTCTACTATGCATGTATGCGGGTATGCTGAGGGTCTTTGGTACTGGCACTGACTGTGATTCACTTGTCTCTCTCCACCCTTCTTCTCCATCAACTGAATAAAACAGTCAATTTTTTCAAGAATGATATCCAAGCTTCAAATGGGGTGGAATCGCGGATGCTGGGGTGCACAGCGAATCACCGTGGTGCCACATGACCCAGGGCTAGGAGTCGACGTGGGAAGGTAGGAGAGTTTCAGGTGGCTGTGTTCGTGGGCAGTCAAGACCCTTTCCCCAGGGCTGCTTGCAAATCCCAGGCAGAGCATCTGGCAGAATAGAGAAGACAAATCCCGGGACCTAGGCCAGTCTGATGGAGGAGACATGATGCCTTTCCTCAGGGATCTTGAAGATAGATAGGAAGAGCAGTGCATAAATGTATACATAATACAAACATTAAATACTTGCAGTTGTAGCTATGATTTATTGTCTTATTACATACCAGGTAATACATTCAGTGCATTATCCATGTTGACCAGTTTCATCATCGGCACTATTTTATAGATGAGAAAACTCATCTCTTGAACCATTTGCTCCAAATTGCCAAATTCTTAGTTTGGGGGAGATGAGATTTGAACCTGGAAGTCTGATTGTGGTGCTCTTAGCCACTATATCACCCTGCCCCTCAAAGAAATGGTTGGTGTGAATTCGAACAGAAAAACTTTAAGGAGGGGACACATTTTAGCAGTTTCATTGTTCTCAAAATATTTGCAGAAAACAGAATCCAGCCTGGAAATTACAATCATCTAATATAAGAGCAGGATTGAACTGTACACTGATTTTTTACACAGAAGAAAAGGGCTAATTTTTTTATGTTTCTTCTAAACACCCTAAAATTACCCTGACTTTGCAAAGACAGGGCTTTCAGCCGCTCTGCTGGATACGTTGAAGGGGGTAAGAGTCTGCAGCCAAGGCTGTCAAAGAGGAGCTGATGGAGAGAGGAGGGCGCCACCTACTGGAACAGTACATGGATACATTATCTTCCTCAGGCTGCCCTTGCGTGACAAGACTGATCGATATAGTGCGTTCGTTAAAGCAGGGTTAAAGGGTCCTATCTTCCATCATTTAGAGATTAGTGAGATCAGACAAGGAGGGAAAATCTTCTCCTTGGGTTTTAGATTGCGCCTCTAACTTCCATCGCAAGTTGCAAAGGAAAGTTTTTGCTCGCAATGGAAAATGTGACAGAGCAGAAACCACTCTCAGGCAACAAAACCTCAGGGGCCTGAGCACTGAGCATGCTCCCTTGCTCACTAAGTCGGTCCTGCACTGCGCAGTAAATACATGAATATCTGTGAATTTTCTGTGTTTACTTTCCTGACTCAGTGGTACGCAGTCCCTGGGCTTTCATCCCATAACCTTTACCTCATCTCTGCCTGTCAATGTGCTGATCACACCACAAGAAGAGAGGCAGGGAGTGCGGGCAGCGTGTGTGTGTGTGTGTGTGTGTGTGTGTGTGTGTGTGTGTATTTCTACCAGGACTGATGTAATTTAAAACAAAAAGACTTCTTTTCAAACACTCTTTCTCCAAAGATACAGCTCTAAACATACCACAGGTTATTCACCAATTCATCTACCAATGGACATCTTGGCTGCTTCCACGTTTCCACAACTCTAAATGAAAGCTGCTGTAAACATTCGTGTGCAGGTTTTGGTGTGGACATGCACCCCCTCTGTATGTGCACACAGCAACTGCACTTTTAGCTTAGGAGCTCAAGAAAGACCGTGGTTTTTGTTCTTTGTCCTACTTACTTCACTCTGTTCTTATTTGTTAATGTATAGGCTCAGCACCCATTTGAAAAAAAATCAGACTATCCCTGATTGGCATTCCTGAAGCTACATACCGTATTCTGTATTTGTTCTGGGGGTTCCCCACTCAATACATACACTCACCCCTCACACTTGTTCTTCATGGTTTGATAGTCTGATTGTCAGCCTTGCTGTTCGACAAATGAGATGTTTATTGTTTCAAAATTAGACCTGCTGTCTTCATTTGTACCGGCTAAATGTGGAGTCTGTCCATTTTGAGTTCCTTTATTAAGATTCACACAATTGCTATTAATGCTTGGAAAACATTTTAACATATTAATTCTGCATAGTCACTGTAAGGCGTTAAAATATTGATTTTTAAGGTTATTATTTGGCCTTACAAACCATGAAGTAAGATTGGATTGGCACAGTTTGGTTTTGTTAGACTTTGTAATACATCGGTAACAAGGAAGACCATTTTCTGGTATTTCTTCTTTTTGAGAATGGTGCCTCCTCCATATGGAGAGATATTAAACAGTGATCTTGTAACTCTGGCTAGCTACACCCTCCCTTTCACAGAAAACAGGATAGAAGGAAAAGCCTAAACTCAAGAAGAGCTTAGCCTGGAAAAAAAAACTGACAAAGTTCTAATGTCTTTGACTCCAACACACCTCAGTATCCCACGGCCTTGCCCCTCTACCCTGAAAATTCCCCACGTGATCTCCTACAGGCACAGTGAGGGTCTCTCATGGGATATATCAGCTGGGGCCGTTGCATCCACTGCACATGCTTTGCTTCATACTTTTTCTTTTTCCTTTTTAGACAACTTTACTCTTCTACTTTCAATACCACAAAATCCACCCAGTCAGTGAATTTTAGCGAATGTACTGTTATGTGACATGGCCCCAGAGAAACGCTACAACAAAGCCACCCCCCACCCCTTCTGCAGCCAACCTCCACTCCCAGCCCTTAACGCAGGCAAGAGAGGATCTGCTTTCTGTTTCTATAGTTTTGCACTTTCTGACATTTTTACATAAATAAATACATAATATTTTGTGTCAGTATGTTTCTGAGGTTCATTCATTTTGTTGCCTACATCAGTACTTTCTTCTTTTTATTGCTGTGTAGTATGCCATTGTATGGATGCACCACATTCTGTTTATCCACCAACCACTTAAGAGACATTTGGATTATTTCCAGTTTCAAGTTATTATCAATAATGACGCTATGAACATTTGAATACAAGTTTTTGTGTGGACGTATATTTTCATTTTTATTTAGGTAGATGCCTGGGAGCAAAATTACTGGGTCTTATTGTACATGTACATTTTAATCTGTTAGAAACTGTCAGTTTTCCAGAGGGGCTGTATCACTGTATTATATGACATTTCTACCAGCCTTATGAGAGGGTTTCAGTTTCTACAAAGCCCTGACAACAGGTGGTATTGTCAGTCTTTCAAAATAGTAGACATTCTTGCCCTGGCCAGCCGGTTCAGTTGATTGGGGTGTTGTCCCGTGCACCAAAAAGGTTGCAGGTTCAATCTCCAGGTGGGGCGCATGCAGAGGAACTGATTGATGTTTCTCTCTCTCTGAAATCAAGTTTTTAAAAAGTCCTTGGGTGAAGATTAAAAAGTGTTTAAAGTATTAGTCAGTCTAGTGGATGTTATAAGTACTTCATTGCGGTTTTACTTTGCATTTTCCTTATGACTAATGATGTGATATTTCCATACATTGATTTGCCATTTGCATATCTTCTTTGGCAAATGTCTATCTGATTCTTCTTATTTTTTTGTCCTCTTATTATTGACTTAAGAGTTCTTGAGTTTTAAGAGTTCATTATATACTCTGGATACATATTGTATATCAGCTATATGTTTTACAAATATTTTCTCCTGGTCATTGACTTGCCTTTTAATTTTTTTAGTTGAACCTTTTGAAAAGATTGCTTAAAATTTTGATGAGATCCAATTTATCAACTTTTTCTATAATACTTTTATGACATAAAAGT